TTACAAGTATATCATAAGTTTAAACATTGTTTACTATATGTACATTAACTTGAATTTCTTTAATCTGTTTACCTACATACACACATATCTATTACCATTGTTAATACACTATATACATTACATCCTGTTTTCTCAAACTTCTTGATAAAATCCTTCAGCTGGTTAAATCTTACATTATTAATTTTATTACACCTGCTCCAGTTATTGGCCAGGTTAACATATATTTGGCAAGACTTCAATCTCATGATGTCTGGTATTCAGATTTTATCATATTTTCGTTATAACAACTTTAAATGGTCATCTTATGTTCCGATAATAAAAGTAATATAACACCTTAAACTGAACATTATATCGATAACAAATGTGAAAGGTTTAATAGGTTATGCATGTTTTCTTAACTTCATAAGTAAATTTTTTGTACAAATATGTACAGAGTAAGTTGTATTTGATTTTCTAAGCCTAACTATGAAAAAAGACCAACCGTCACATTATTTTTGATCCACTGATGAATGACATTACATTTTAATGGTACAAATTCAGGACATCTTTCGGGGATAAAAACCTTCACAGGAATATGTCGTTAAAGTATGATTCTAATTGATTCAATGGTTCTCTAGACCAAATGCTTATAAAAATTCTACCCAATCAGTAACTACCATATTGAAGAAACAGCACCAAAGTATCAGAGCTAAGAACATTCAGGACTTTGTAAGGAACATTTTTGACAAATTTGAATTAATATTGTTAATGTTTTTAAAGTTGAGGATAAAAGTTTTAGGCAGCAGCAAACAGGATTTTAGCCACATGACCTGACATTAAGGTCAAAGCTAGGTTAAGGTGTTAAATAAATGGTAAAAATTCAAATGCAAATAAAATGCTCCACTGGGCGCAGCTTGATACGACCGCAGAGGTCAAACCCTGAACAGTTAGGGCAAGTATGGACACAACATTCAAGCTTAATACAGCACTGAATTTGGATTGTGATTAAATATTTGACACATCATAGGTTTCTGACACAGAATTAATGTGGTCTAAGAACTTAAAATTTTTTTAACTTACCTATTCAAATCATATCATTATTATTTGCTTTTATATATTAATCAGAAATAACCAATTTAAAATGCAAAATTTTAAAGAAAAAAAAAGGAAAAAAAGGAAAAAAAAATCCCTCCCCAAAATTTGTTGAACCCCCTTACGATTCATCACCCCCAAACTCAATCCCAGCCTTCCCTTTGTGGTATGGTACCTTGCAGTATAAATTCAGAGAGATCTATACACTTGAACACAAGTTATTGTCTGGAAACTAGAAAATGCTTGTTTTTAGGCCCCTTTTTGGCCCCAAATTCCTAAACTTTTAGGGCAATTACCCCCAAACTCAAACCCAGCTTTCCCTTTGTGATATGGAACCTTGTTGTACAATGTCATAAAGATCCATACACTTACACACAAGTTATTGTCCTGAAACTAGAAAAATGCTTGTTTTTTGCCCCTTTTTGGCCCTTAATTCCTTAAAATTTTGAGGCAATTACCCCCAAAATCAATCCCAGCCTTCCCTTAGTGGTATGGTACCTTGCAGTACAATTTCAGAGAGATCCATACAATTGAACACAAGTTATTGTCTGGAAACTAGAAAAATGCTTATTTTTGGCCCCTTATTCCTAAACGTTTTCGGCAATTACCCCCAAACTCAATTCCAGCTTTCCCTTTGTGATATGGAACCTTGTAGTACAATTTCAGAAATATCCATACACTTACACACAAGTTATTGTCATGAAACTAGAAAATGCTTGTTTTTTGCCACTTTTTTGGCCCCTAATTCCTAAAGTTTTGAGGCAATTACCCCCAAAATCAATCCCAGCATTTCCTTTGAGATATGGAACCTTGTGGTACAATGTCAGAGAGATCCATACACTAACACACAAGTTATGTCTGGAAGTTACAAAAATGCTTATTTTTGGCCCCTTTTTGGCCCCTAATTCCTTAACTGTTGGTACCATAACCCCCAAAATCAATCCCAACCTTCCTTTTGTGGTATTGAACCTTATGGTAAAATTTCATAGAGATCCATTCACTTAAACTAAAGTTAGAGTGCGAAAACCAATGTGTTTTAGGATGACGACGAGGCTGACGATGACGCCAACATCGTACCAATAATTTTTTTGCGGCCGTATAAAAACTCCCTCCCTTTATTTTATGGTTTTAATGTTTTACTCTAGAAACTCCTGGGACCCTGCAGTTCAAGTCCTTGATAATAAAGTCTAATGAAATATGAAAGAATATAAGTTTTTGAGGGTTTTTTTTTTTTGTTGGTTGTTTTTTTATAAAATATTCTATTGTCCAATTAAGGTAGATAGGGTGTCTTCCTCCATCTTGGATTTTGTAATACCTGAAAACAATCGGTCTAGATCTTTAATATAATGTGCAAATTTTGAGAGTAGTAGGTAATTCATGTGTAAGAATTTTCATTTCAATATAGAAAATGACATGTTTTATCATATTTATGGTTGTATTTTACAAAAAAACAGAAAACTTTTGTTTGATTCAATTTTTTCCAACTTTGCCACATAAGGGGAGGCAACTCAAATGTAAGGGCAGATAATTCAGATAAAGATACTTTTACAATAGAATGTGTTAGGAATTTACCTATTTTTTTATGTAGCAAGAAAACGGGTCCGGTGACCCCATTTTTTCTTTTTCTTATCTGAAAGCATACTATTAAAGCTATCTTCTCATATTTTATCTCAAAATTCTATGGTGTAGTTTTCGTTTTATGGCAGAAAATTGGGTTTTCCATGCATAATCTATACAAAATCTGTTAATTTTGAACAACCTGTAGCCTGAAAATAAGCCCTGTGACCCATTCTTTTTATCATTTTTTTTTAAAAAGCTTGATATAAACTACATTTTGGCAAATTATTAAAAAATTCTATGGATTATAATTTAGACACCCCATCTACCTTAACAGACATTTTATTTAAAATTTTTAGTGGAGATAGCATCTTAGACTTTCATTATGTTGTCCTAAGCAGGCTTTTAAGGGTGTACATGTACTTTAAAATGATATTGTTTATGTGTTATATGCCCTCATTTAAAAAATAAAATTATTCTTTTCTATTCTATTCTATTCTGTACATATGTATGCATATAAAATAAAAGCATGAATTAAAATGAACAGAAAATAACTACAATTTCTGCATTGTTACAAATTGGCACAAAGATGGAACAATTACTGACTTTGAGTTTGAAATCATGTGAAATAATATTGATAAAGATGCTGAAGGAAAATATCCCTCACCAACCCCTCCTAATATCAAAAGTACTTAACACTGACATTATCAGTTCCAATACCCATTTATCAAAATTATCTTAGTGTCTATCTATCAATCAGTGACCTTCAAATAACAATCCAGTAAATACTTTTTATACAAGGTCATTTAATATTAAATAACCTCATCAATATTTGTCATGTCAAAATCTATTTCAACAAAAATTATCAAAAAAACTTAGTGAGAAATGGAGCAACAATTGCAAAACAAACAAAATTACGCAATGACTACATATGTTACTTATTTATAGAAAAAAGTTCAATGAACTTCAAGGTTAGACCATTAACCCAGATTTTATACAGTACATCATGTAAGGAGCAGACAATTCACCTCAATGTGCAATACGCCAAAACAGACGAAAAATTGTGTAAAAATAGTTGTTCAAATTTTTATAAACTACCTGGTGGATTTTTTTTAACATATTTGGATATAAAAGTAATCAAAACATGTTACTTCTCCTTAATCTTGTGTTAGCCCAATATTACTGTATTGTAGTGAGATATGGTCACTAAATATTGTGAAGAACAACAAAACTCTTGAATCTCAATACTTATCAATGGAATCAGTAAAACTCCAGATCAAATTTGCGAAAAGTCTTCTTAATGTTAATTCAAAGGCAGTAAAAACAGCTGTATTAGCTGAATTGGGAATGTACCCTTTTGGTATACAGGCCCTTAAGTCTTCTGTAGGATTTTGGTTACATATTTTAAATTCAAATGAAAATGAGTCTTTATTATGTAATGTTTATAAAGTTAACAAGCAGTTAAATGATGGATTTGCTTCAAAAATTAAAATGCTACTATCAAAATTAAATTTCACTCACGTTTAGGAAAATCAACGTACCTTTTCTAAAAAACGATTACTTTTAGCCCTCGTGAAGAAGCTCGATGAAAATTACATTATATTTTGGAAAAATTGTCTCTTTAATGATGATAATTCAATAAATGGAAATAAACTAAGAACCTACAGAAAATTTAAAGTAAAGTATGAACTAGAAAAGTACCTTTTATTGAATTTAGATAAAAATGTTACAAAAAGTTATGCCAAAATAAGAATAAGTAATAGTATGCCGGCTGTTGAACACGGTAGATACAACAAAACAGCCTTGGAAAATGCCATAAAGAGGTGGAAGATGAATACCATTTTATCATAACATGTACAGAAATTAATAAAACTAGGATCAAAATGTTGAATGAAATTTCTAGTATTGCTCCATTTTTAATTCAATGAGTAAAGAAAACAAATTTGATTTTATATTTTCTTGTGAAGAATGTGATATTTTACTTATCATTGTTAACAATACACGGTAAGTGAAATGTAGAATGAGAGAAACAATTATAATGTTAATATATAAACTGTGTGTGATTGGTGGCTTAACTTATAATGTTATATATAATCATAATATTTGAATTGATAATTTTATAGAGGAGGCATGCTGTCAAAAATAGTATTATACTTAATATGAATAATCTTTATTTTTTTTTTTCAATGCTACATTTTTGTATTGTTTAATGTCTATCGTTTTGTCATTTATATGCCTGTCTGGCTGTTTGTTTGTTTTGTTTTGGTTTTGTATTGGTTTGTTTACTTAGTAACAATCCTGTTGTTTGGATTTTAAACTAATAAATTCTTATTCTTATTCTTATTCCTAAATTAAACAATAACAATAATGACCTTTGTACCTTATGTTTGTTTTCAGTACCATGAAAATTTTCACACCAGATATGGCATTCACACCTGTACAGTTAAAATATCTATATCAAATTACAAACAACCATTTTTTCTATCATTTCTAAAAGTTAACTGAATACAAGGTATATGGAAATCTAATGAAGGAGGTTAACGTGAGGTACCCATTTTGCACCAATTTTGACAGTTTTTTCACCTACATTTATTAAAGAAACAGACAAAAGTTTCCATTCCATGTTCATTTTGTAGATGTATCCTTATTTACTATATATTTCCACAATTTTAATTTTGAATCCATACTGAAACATAGAAATGGGTTTAAACCTACCTCCAAAAAAACCCAAATTCAGTAATGAGGAGTACCTAAATAGCATCCATGCTTAACTTCAACTTCCATAAAAAGCGATCAACTGATGTTTTGTTTATCCACATTTTTAGAACAATTTGACAATAGTACATGCCTAATTTGCATTTTGTAAGAAAAGTATGCCCGTTGCATAATTTAATTGCTCATTTATAAAAGTTGTTTTTTGTGGACGTCGAATGTGACATTTCCGTAAATTTTAATTTTTTCACTGGATACTTAATCTGTTGATATATAATTTTAGTATATATATTTTAAGTATAATAAGCTATGTTGAAACATGTGCATAATGGCAAATTATAAAACTACAAATTGTTTAGTTTTTCAGGAAACTTATAAGATTTTCGCTGCTTCTTTTGCAAAAAAGGTGCAATTTGGGTACTCGGTGCAATTTGGGTACTCAGTGCAATTTGGGTACTGTTATGTTATATTTATAACGTCCTTGATCTAATAGGCTATATCTTGAAATTTTAAAGTTCACTGTCTTAATAATTTGTGGTGTAATTTATTTTCATTTTTTTGCTATGAAAAAGTGTTGTCTAGTAATAAAAACTTTTAAATTACAGTTTCTGTGGTTAAATCAATTTACAGTAATTCTAACACATAAAATACAACTATTTGATCATCTAATTATTCGTAAACCACAAGGTGTCCTACTAAGATCACCAAGATAACACAGTTCAAATATAACGGAATATTCAATTTGTATAGACATTTTAGTGAATAAAATTATGGGTGTTTTTAGTATCTGTATTATCTCTTAAAGATAGTTTTGATTTTGAAAATAAAGCACCTGAGATAGTTTAAAATATCTTGTGTTGCTATTTTGTTTATAGCCTTTGATGAAATAAATAATCAGAGGAAATAAATCTAAAATGCTTCCTTTCTAAAATTTATCATTACTAGTCATGAAAGAATTTTCTCCATAATTCAACATATTATTTTCTTTAAACTGCAGGTTTATAAATTGAGTACATGTATGTTGACTTTGAAGAATGTTTTTAGATACAATGTACATGTAGTATACATGAAGTAAATACTTCAACTTTAAAAAATATTTTGGTACACACTTCCTTAAATGTGTTTCTGATAATGACTATATCATTAAACCATTTTGCATTGTCAGATTTGAGATTTTATACAGAAGCCTCCCCCCTCCCTTTCACTAGATACCAGGTACTTGTTACCTTGCAAACAATTGATAGTTTTTTTTTCTGGACAGAATTTTAATAATAAATCCTAAGAATCTGAAGAACATTACCTCCCACGACCTGCTAGGACCAGCATGGAACAACATTTATTTTCATTAATACCAATTTTTGTGGTAAAGAGAAAAATTGCATTTCCATGGATATTTGATTTCATGGTTTTGCCAAAGTCAACCTATAGAAAATTTGTACTTCTGACATTGAACATTTCAATTCATGGTAACACTATATCCACGTCAACTGATACCCCCAATGAATAATAATGAATCCACAGAAGGTAAGGTCTTCTACTAAGTTAAATATGGTAATTAGTGTTTGCACAGACTTCTTAGTGACTAGCAATGTTACTAACTTCTTTGCTAATTTCCCATCAATAATTTGAACATTTTTGTTAAATCAGAGACATATAATACTTGTATTATTTGTCTCTGGTTAAATGCATAATACTGTAAATTCAGAAATTTATATATTGTGAGGTTTTTATTAATGCAAATAATGCGATTGGCTGAGTATCACAATAATAAGAACTCTCATTCTGATAACTGATACAAATATCTGTTTGCAGATTTTCCTGAAATCGCAATAACTTATTGCGCAATTTTGTTTATTCCTCAAAAATCACAATAATGAATGCTCACAATAATTTCTGAATTCACAATATATGAATCTACCTTTCACAAATCCTGTCTAACTGGAAATGTAACGAAGTCAGTAAGTGGATAAATAATTTTTATTATGTAATTACAAAGTTAAGACTGTTTCTAAAGTTCAAATGTTAGATTGTTCACAAACTGTCTCTAAAGTTGAATTGTTCAAATGTTCATATCGTCACACGGACACGTGATCGTATAGTGGTATAACCGTTCAGTCCTGATGGAGTACATTCGGATATAAGTGCATTAGTTCCAGCCTACCCACGAGGGGGGAGACCTTGGCCGAATCTCCTGTCGGAATCTATCTGTACGAATCTATCTCGTTCGAGTCCAAAGCTGGATCTTATATAGTTCAGTGGGGTCATCCATCGTTACACAATGGCCCATAGCTGTTGGCAGGTTGCGTAGTAGTCTGGTTGTGGAGTAATACTAGTCTGTGGTTAATTGTCAAACTATGCAATTAACCCCTGACGGATACATGTTATTTCACAGTAGACATGGTCATTTATTGGCTGCAGGGTATAGGTCTATAATATTCGTACAGATTGTTATTAAGTGTCTATAAAGGTTACATGTAATCGTTTCTGATTTGCTGTATTTAGTTACTTCCTGATGATTAACGTATGGAACACAATTGTGTTACATAATGGGTGGAAATTCCTTTAGTTTGAAGTCCTGCAGGCTGGACTCAACTAGTGCACAGTTAAGGGACTTTGGGCTGGCCTTAAGCAGCAAAGAGACTTGACTGCTTACATCAAATGAATAGTAATGATCAGAATTGGGTTTGATTAATAGCTGACACCTACCAAATGGTATTAAATATGACCACAAGAAAACTATCGAACAACACAATAAAGATTGAGTTTAATACCATGCAGTCTCCAAAAAATAGACAAGTGTTAATACAAAATGTCCAGCTCAAATTAACAAAAGTTTAAACAAGTTTTGAATAAATTGTAAGTGTTTCTTGTAAAAGGCTTCACATTAAAAGGCATTATTCTAGACAATGTCAGGCATTTGTCATGAATCAGAATTTCATCCAAGTGACAGAGTAATCATGAACAATGTTAATAGGTGTTAAAAGAGCATTTACCTAATATGTTCAGAGCTTGGATAAATACCACAATGACAAGTCAATGTCATATATTGACAGTGTAAGATTGTAAACAAACTCTCTGGTAAAAAAAAAAGGATCTTCTTTAAGTATGAATGATTAATTTACAGTTTAACTACGGGTTCCATAATTTTTCATTTTCTACCATGAAAAAGCTTTTCTTTATAGATGCTTATATTCATGGAATACCATAAAATGAACAAGAATGTGTCCATAGTACAGTACGGATGCCCCACTCGCAGTATCATTTTCTATGTTCATTGGACCGTGAAATTGGGGTCAAAACTCTAATTTGGCATTAAAATTAGAAAGATCATATTATAGGGAACATGTTTACTAAGTTTCAAGTTGATTGGACTTCAACTTCATCCAAAACTACCTTGACCAAAAACTTAAACCTGAAGCGGAACAGACGGAAGAACGGACGGACTGACGGACAAACGAACAGACCAACAGACCTAAAAACATAACACCCCTCTACTATCGTAGGTGGGGCATAAAAATATGTATTTTGTACATTTTTAATTTAAACCATAACACCAATGTAGATCTGATATCAATTTGAGTATCATTTTTCTTTATATGATCTAACGTACCCCTAAAACCATACCATTTTTCTTTATATGATCTAACATACCCCTAAAACCATACTATTTTTCTTTATATGATCTAACATACCCCTAAAACCATACTATTTTTCTTTATATCTTATTGACTACATTCAAATGATCTAACATACCCCTAAAACCATACCATTTTTCTTTATATGATCTAACATACCCCTAAAACCATACTATTTTTCTTTATATGATCTAACGTACCCCTAAAACCATACTATTTTTCTTTATATGATCTAACGTACCCCTAAAACCATACCATTTTTCTTTATATGATCTAACATACCCCTAAAACCATACTATTTTTCTTTATATGATCTAACGTACCCCTAAAACCATACCATTTTTCTTTATATGATCTAACATACCCCTTAAACCATACCATTTTTCTTTATATGATCTAACATACTCCTAAAACCATACCATTTTTCTCTATATGATCTAACATACCCCTAAAACCATACCATATTTCTTTATATGATCTAACATACCCCTAAAACCATACCATATTTCTTTATATGATCTAACATACCCCTAAAACCATACCATTTTTCTCATCATAAATTGATCCAACAAATAATCCACCATTTTTTTCGTTGTTGATGATAATGGAGATTGGACATTTTGAATCTTGAACTTCATCCTCTATGAAATCGACTACATCCATTTCATTGTTTTCTTCGTCCACATGTTTTGCATTTTCATCGATATCATCCTCAGCATCTAGGTTATCTTTATCAATTTCTTCACCTTCATCTTGAATTAGAGTAGTATGATTTGACATTCCGCTGTCAGTCTTCTTCCGTCTAGGACGATGTCCTCTTTCACGGCAAGTGTTACAGTTAATAATTTCATCAAAACTATTTCCAAAGTAATAAGAAAACTTTGCATATATGACTGGACGAATTGCTAAGTCTACCAATGCTACGATTTCACAATATTTCGAAACTTCAAATAGCATATCAATCTGATTAATCAAAACATCATCATAGTTTGGGTTTATTTTCAAACCAGAAATAAACTCTCGAGTTTTGTAAAAAATCATTATATATACTACTTCATTTGGTAATTTGAAAATAGCAAATGTTATTACTAAGATAGTCACCATTTTTGAAAATCTACGTTCTCTTGAGGAATAACTTTCGTAAAAAAATCGCATGCTTAGGAACTTTGTCACTACATATAAGATACATATTACAAGTAAAGGAATCATATATGAAAATGAAAACCGTAACCATAATATTCTCTCATCTTCTGGAGTAAGGTCTGAACCTAGCTCAACACATACTTTAAAGTCTTTGTCATATGCTACAGTTTTGAGATTTAGAATGTTTGACAGGCATATAACTATCCATATAACAACACACCCTACAATGGTGTGTCGAACGTATGACCTGGAACGGACACGTTCATTCAACATGATACAACGAATAATGCTGAAAAGTACCAAATGTGCTCCTGCAACATATGAACATACTGATGTCAAATAAAAATGTGCTTTACACAAAGGTGTATTCACTATGCCTTTATGCCCAACTTCATTGAAAATGATATATGGACTTTCCATGATGATATTGAGCAAGTCGGCTACTGCCAATCCTCCGATTGCGATGTAGATTGGAATTCTGGGATATTTTGAGCATATTAACGCTTGGATGACCAGTATGTTACCTAGGATACAAACTATTCCTATCAGGGCTACAATAACGCAGATAACTATCATTGATACTCCCGGATTTTTGTCTTCATCTCCCTCCATTTCTAATTATAAGGATGACTAAAGATCTACAAAAAAGACAGAACTTTAAAAATATTAAATAGGATCAAACAAGATGCATAAAACTTTTGAGATTGTTTACACCTATGCCAATCAACGTTAGATTTTCACCTGTTCTCTAGACCTACATTACAGAAACTATTACTATGAATTCATTATAATTCGTTAGATACCTTTCTCTGACCTCTTGGTTAAATGTGATCCACGAATTTCAAAGTTCTAGGAAGCAAAATTTCTAATAAGGCTGATAAGAAAACTTAAGCAAAACAACGAAAATCAAATATCCACAAAAATTGGTACCGACAAACATAAATGCATCTACTGTATATTAGTTGCATTGCAAGTTTTTTTGGGGGTTCTTTTTATAAAAAAAAATATTGATAAAAAGCAATAATGTTGTTCAATTATTTAATTCAGAAAAATTATCATATGGTAAAAATTTATAATTTTGTTGGTTTTCACCTACAAATATATAAGGTTGGTTAATTTGTGCTCACACCAGTGAAGTGAAATAAAATTTTAATAAAAACTTGTTTACTGTAATTTCTCCATTATTCTTTCGGATAAATGATTAATCATCATATAAAATTTCCACAAATAAAACATTCATCTGATGTCACCTGATACATGGATGCAAATTAACTAGGACATCCATTTACCTTACATAACATACGGTAATGTTTTTTTTTGTCAGTTCTTAACCAAATGCTGCCACAAAAAAATGGCAAGAGCTGTGTTAAATTCACAAACAAACTACAACAAACCAAGCTATATTTCTGCACTATGAGTTCAACAGTGACCATTTTGTAAAGAAAGGGTTATTTCAGGTTTTTTCAGGACAAATTTTTATTGCGTGTTCTTTTATGTACATTTTGAACCCATCCCACATTATACTAACCTCATCGGTGGTTGGCTTAAGTTATTTATAATTTTTTGTCCGTGAACAAGAAGTGAGGCAGATATTTTTTATCTCTGTTATATATAATTCAGATAGGTTTACAGCTTAAATATTATATAGACACTCATCTATTATTAAAGATTGCATTTTGAACTCCAAATGAATTTTGCTTTTTTTCAAAAATTAAGCATTACTCTTTATAATTGCAATTGATATCACAGCATATGTTTGTACCAACATATAATTTTGGTCATAAGTTTAAAATTTGTACGTGTACATGTGTATAACAAAATGGATTTTTTTATAAAACATGTTTAACTTATAAATTTTCATTTTTCCACTGATTGTTGGTAAACACTTGTTGGTCAAAATTTTATTTTCGTATTCAAGTTTAGAAAAAAATTTAAAATATCAAAATTAGGTTAAAATCATAACATCCTGTGAAAATTACATAGAATTTATTAATAAAGCAGTTTCTGTTCCATAAATTTTCTTTAATGTAAATTAAAGCTAAATAAAATATGCAGCAAGTGAAGGGTAGGGTAAGAAAATATCACTTCTGGTTTTAATCAACACTTGCAATTTTGTAAGTAGAGTAAAAAAGTTGGAACCAAAAATCCAAAGTAGGAGAAAACAAATACTACCATAGCAAATAATCTCTAAAACATTGACACAATAATAATCCACACTTTATAGAAAAATTTTGAAAAAAAACAAACCCCATGAAAAACTTGTTGAAAATTTGAAACGGTTTGGAAATAAATCTCCAGTATAAAAAGTATATGTCTTAAATTCTGAATATATGAATATGAAGATGTGGTATGATTGCCATAGAGACAATTATCCACCAGAGACCAAGTGACGTAGATGTAAGCAACTAAATGTCAAATTTAAAGTCTTTTATAAATATATTATATTTAACAGCAGCAGAGACATTAGATAAATATATTATATTTAACAGCAGCAGAGACATTAGATAAATATATTATATTTAACAGCAGCAGAGACATTAGATAAATATATTATATTTAACAGCAGCAGAGACATTAGATAAATATATTATATTTAACAGCAGCAGAGACATTAGATAAATATATTATATTTAACAGCAGCAGAGACATTAGTTCATCTTTGGTACTGGTCAAATACTATACAAATAAATCAATAAATGTAAAAATAAGAAACATTTCAATTTCAATATAGGGCTGTATTCAATTGCTATCTATATTAAAACGCTTTTATATTTTCTTCTATTTTCTTAATGTTATTTTTAAGTTCCTGTAATCAAGCTCATGTATGAATAAAAAGTAGTAAAGTATAAAGTCAATGAAAACCGTAACACCAAAGACAAAGAATAACTAAAAATAGCAATATGTAACAGTCGACAACATGTCACACTTTCTTCCAGGTTGATGATGCTCTTTCTATTATTTCCAAAAGCAAAAGAGATTTATAATTTTAATAAATTTTCTGAATTAGAAGAGTGGTAGCAGATTGACATACAACAACTGTATCAAGAGTCGTGCAATGATACAGATAAGCCGAAAACATAACTCAGATAATATCTTTACAAGGATCTAAGCCAGTTTGACAGAAAATATAGATGTTATCATACCCTAAAAATTTGAATTATTAAATGTAAGTATTTGATGAATACTAAAGTTCTTAACAAAATAAAGTTTGGTATATTGTTAAATCTAAAAACAGTTAAACACTCCATTTTTTCCCCCAAAATTTTCAGTTTAATCGAGCAATAAGGTTAACATAAATAAATACACTATTCAAACATTTCTAACTTTAAGAAAAAAACATTTAATTTAATCGACCAGAAAATTTCACGGTTCCTGAATCTTACATACAACTCTCTTCAGTTTAAGGTTTTTTTTATTGATATCATAAGAGGTATAAGAGGTATAAGAATTTTATTAATCTAATCAAGAACCCATAAAGGGCATCATTTACAACAATATTAAGCACAATATGATTGGAAAAAAGAAAAACTATATCCTAATATAATACTATCATATATTGGACAGGATCAGAGCCTAACACATCATGTGTCTTACATAACATTAACAATAATTGCATAATAATTTTATATATTTTGTATCCACCTGGATCTTATTTCTAAACACTTAATTATATAATTGCCTAGGCACATAAGAGTTGGTAAATGCTCATTTGTGAACAGCCAGAAATATTTTTTATCCTTGGATAATTCTTTAAAATTATTACAAAAACTGTTTACTTTATCCCATAATAATTTTCTCTGTTCGTTATCATTATTATCATATTATATATATTTCCATTTATTATAAATAAGTAAAAGATTAGAACATTAAAAGTCACATGAAAACAAAGAAAAAATTAAACAAAACCTATTTAATCTATGGTAAATTGACCGATTTTTCTTACCTTCTTCTAAAAGAATTTCTGGCAGGTCAGACTATACTTAGATCCAAAGATAACATAGCACCTACAACAATCAAAGCTATCATTTAGACATTATATAACTGATTATATAGAGACTCAAGGCCTGCTACTAGATATGGTCATTCATACCATTTTTTTTATCATTATTACAAGGTCATCATTGCTTGTTTATATGATATCACACTATCTGCTCATGTTCATAACAAGGCTGTAGCAATTCGCCACCATATGTTGTTCTGAAATCAAAACTGTATTCTTTTGACTGGCGAGGGATGGATGATTGTATGCAAATTGGACAATGTAGGCTGACCAATGGGAATTGTGATATGATACAAGCAAATCATATTTTAAAACGTATTAGTAAAATACCGCAGTGACACATGTTATTCAGACACCAATATCAGATGATTATTTTATCTTTGAATTCATGTCTTTGTATCCATTGAGAAACCTCCCTCTTCTACATGCAAGGGGATTTCAAATCATGTCCACGAGGGACCACTTCACTGTTTGACTCATCTTTTTTTTTTTGAATGGATGAAACATGCTAGAAATGGATATTTCACAAGCATTCCTAAAAACTTATTTCATCAACTTGAAGTGTTTTCTCTTATCATATTTTTAATTTCCAAAACCCCTTTTTTTTCCATTATTCTATCTGAAATGTGCTGTCCCCCTTACTGACCTTGAGGTCATTATGAGCAAGTGATAATTATAAACAGAAACAAACAGAGTATTAACCATTTCCTAAAACCACTTAAACATTATTGATAATCCTATACTGAAAATGGCGATCATAATAGATCATAATACTTAAATCACGCAGTGAGATTATATTGATATTCCCGTCATTAAATCATAATAGCTCATAGACTAGGAGCAGTAGGAAAACAATCTCATGTATGTCAAACATGTCTCAATTCTAGAACAAAAGCTCTGTCCACAATATTGAAGTATTTATCAGGTTTTTTTTAACATGTTTTGACTTCAGGTTTGTCTGCAAGAATACTGCAATATCAGTACAAAAAGGTTTGTGAAGGTACGTTTGCACTTCCGGTAAAAATAAAATCGGAATTAAAGAACTGTTATTGGGCAAGATCACATACATTATGCAAACCATTTAAAGGAGAAAAGCTTACAATTTATAATGACCTGCTGGCATGGTCTTTTCTGAACGCATATAGATATGATAATTTTCTATTATGTTTTCAATCCGTAATATTGTCTTCAAAAATTGCAAGCTCTATCCCCACAAAAGAATTAAAATTTCACAACTGTGATCTTATATTTGATGTATAGAACTAAAAAGCTATAAGCATCTTCCCCTCCCCCTTATATTTTCCAATACCAAGCTATCATTAGAAAACCCTTTTTCCTGAACTTGTTCTGGTTTATTTTATAAGTAAATATGAACTTATGTTTTAACCTTGGAATAAGTTGGGAACTTTCTATCATTATATGTGACCAATTAAAGTATTACAGAAACTCCTTTTCTGCACCAATCTGATTAAAATGAAGATCATGTGTTTAAGCTTTGCTTACAAGGATCTGACAACACTCCATTTTATACTTTCCGTTCTGGTACTTATTACATCAGCCAATGAAATGTCAGCTTTCAAATTTTTGAAGGTGTGTATTAATCTGACAAAACCAGAGGATCACGAAAGGTCTTTAAAACAGAAAGTAGAACAGAGAGTATTCAGTTCCCTGTAAGCAAAGCTTGGACACAGGATATGTATTTTAATCAGATTGTTTCTGCACAAATTTTTGTCTTTTTTTAGAACCTATGACCCTGTCTTATTGACATTTAAAATCAATGTTTATTTTTTTTATTTTCAAAATTTGACTGGTGTATTTATGAGTATAAAAGTGAAGTGCTTAAATATTTTTAGATTTGAAAATAAACTAGATTTAGTCATATTATAACTAATAGTCATCAAGATCTTCAAATGTTTACCATATCATAAAATCTTTAATTTCTTTCAAACTGACTTAAATCAGTCAATGAGAAAATAACACACACACACAGTCACACACACAAAAAATAATCAAAAAATATTTCTTTTATAAGTTTTATAAACCTCTATCTTAACTTAATTACTGAAATGACATTAAAATTCTGTATGTTTGTTTCAGCATAAAAGACTCATGATATTTTCTTGGCTCAATCAATTTGTCCATACTTCCTTAATTTTAAATTTGCATTGAAAGCTTAACAACTTCCATCAAACAGGATATTAAAACGTAACAAATAATATCCTATACATTTCACTTGGAGTTGAATTCATTATAACCTAAGTTTGATTGTACCTATTTTGATCAATATTCAAAATTCTTTATTTTATTTTATATAAAATTTCAAATTACATAATGATACTCAATAATCTATTTATAACATACAAATTATTTCCCAAGCTGTGATGTTTTAATTTACCGGTACACAAATTTTTTATCAAAAAATTTACACCATAAGCATGTTCGTGATATTAGATCCTGACAGAATAAATCTGATAAAAAATAAAAGCGATCAGAATCTAATGTACTTTTCTAAGTCTTATCAAATTTACATTACAAGTAATGCTTCAAAATTTGATAAAAAAATCCATTTCATTACAATAATTCAAAGTTGACATTTTGAAAAAATAACCCTTAGGCAACAGACTGCTGTCACCTGATAATTTTAACATATTTTGTGTTTGTATCGGTTACCTTCATTAAGATTTACACAATTTTGTATTTAATGCTATTTGTTGTTTTGACAGTTGCAGTGAGAAAAAAATCCAAGAAAAGTGAAATATTTTGTATCTTGTTTTCATTTTTGAGCCTTATTTTAAAAGATCTATACCAGATTAATATAAAAAGTTACCAGCAATGTCATTTAAAGTATACCTCTACTTATAATTGTCTAAAAATAAACTGCTCAGTGGGTCTACTGGTTATAAAAATTCAAAGTATTGTCAAAGAGGAAGTAACTGACCAACAGATCTGAAAATCACTCCTGTCCAGCTAAGCTGAAGATCATTTCCATGGAACAATTCTTCCCAGCAAACTGAAGATCATGTACATGGTACAACTCTGCTCAGCAAACTGAAGATCATTTACTTGGTACAACTCTTCCCAGCAAACTGAAGATCATTTACATAGTACAACTCTTCCCAGCAAACTGAAGATCATTTCCATGGAACAATTCTTCCCAGCAAACTGAAGATCATTTACATGGTACAACTCTGCTCAGCAAACTGAAGATCATTTACTTGGTACAACTCTTCCCAGCAAACTGAAGATCATTTACATGGTACAACTCTGCCCAGCAAACTGAAGATCATTTACTTTGTACAACTCTTCCCAGCAAACTGAAGATCATTTACTTGGTACAACTCTTCCCAGCAAACTGAAGATCATTAACTTGGTACAACTCTTCCCAGCAAACTGAAGATCATTAACTTGGTACAACTCTGCCCAGCAAACTGAAGATCATTTACTTTGTACAACTCTTCCCAGCAAACTGAAGATCATTTACATGGTACAACTCTTCCCAGCAAACTGAAGATCATTTACTTGGTACAACTCTTCCCAGCAAACTGAAGATCATTTACATGTTACAACTCTTCTCAGCAAACTGAAGATCATTTACTTGGTACAACTCTTCCCAGCAAACTGAAGATCATTTACTTGGTACAACTCTTCCCAGCAGTCTGAAGATCATTTACTTGGTACAACTCTGCTCAGCAAACTAAAGATCATTTACTTGGTACAACTCTGCTCAGCAAACTGAAGATCATTTATTTGGTACAACTCTTCCCAGCAAACTGAAGATCATTTACATGGTATAACTCTTCCCAGCAAACTGAAGATCATTTACATGGTATAACTCTTCCCAGCAAACTGAAGATCATTTACTTGGTACAACTCTTCCCAGCAAACTGAAGATCATTTACTTGGTACAACTCTTCCCAGCAAACTGAAGATCATTATCTTGGTACAACTCTTCCCAGCAATCTGAAGATCATTTACATGGTACAACTCATCCCAGCAAACTGAAGATCATTTACATGGTACAACTCTGCCCAGCTATTATAGCTATTTTTCAATACAGGAAAATTTCACTAATTCTATCAAATTCGTTTTGTACTTTACTTTTTAAGATAAAGAAATATTTGATGGAGTAATTGCTTATAAATGTCACTGCTCTACTTATTAGTAACAGCTGTCCAATACTGTTGTCTGTGATAATTATGTCTGATGACTCTGCCAACAAACCAAGAAAATTAAGTGACAATAATATAAATGGAAAATGTTTTGGAAAAATTCCCAGAAAAATAAAACTGATCAGTTTGGTTTGAAAAGTTTTGGCCTTTTAGGAAATGGCTAGTTTGATAATTAATGTTGGTCTCCTTTTTACAAATTGACATTTATCAATTAGGTTGTTACTAAAGAACATCAGAAAAATGGAAAATACATTTTGTAAATGGTTTTTTCCTTGTTCATGTATTATGAAAACATATAATAATCAAACCTGCCAACTTTCACAATTTATAGATTTCCCCCATGAGAGGTGTTGACCTGAATTTTTAAATTCTTTATTATATAAACTAAACACCTCAAAACAGACTTTCAAATGAGTAATAAGGGTATTTAAGCACATACATACTCATTCAAACAATATAGAAGTAGATTAAAAGCACTTGCAACAATATAAGTAGAGCATTAGGTCCTCTTGCTCTTAAAATCCCCCATGGAGATTTTGAAAGGTTGGAAGGTATGAAAAATTGTTAAAGTACAAAACATGTTATGATTAAAGCTAAATTAAAAGCATTCTATTTTGCAGCTTTTATCATAGTTTCTTTTAAAATTTAACGTTATGAAAATTTAATTGAATCTGTCAATGTTTAAGACATTTAAATTTTCCTACACAGTGCTGATGACGATCCCAATTAAGTTATCAGGTTGCCCCAATTAAGTTACCAGGTTGCCCCAACTAAGTTACCAGGTTGCCCCAACTAAGTTAACAGGTTTCACCAGGTAAGTTACCAGGTTGTCCCA